ATATAATCATTTCTCTTATTTAAATATTTTTCAAATACTCTTTTTGAAAAATATTTAAATATATAAAATTTAAAATATAAAAATATATTTGAAAAAAATATTCTTCAAACATTGGTTGTGTTCAGCAAAGAAAGTAGCTTTGCAACTGTTGTAAAATTTGATGTGGTTGGTCTTACCCTTAGTTCTTTACTGGATCTAAATGTATTATAAATCAATCATATTAAAGAATCGTACATACAACTGCAGTTGTACAAAGCTGTTTTTTCTACTAAACGCAGCCATTTTTTCAAATATTTTTTTAAAGTTACATCCCAAAACATCTCCGAGGAAAATTTTACTCGAAATATATAGTACACGTAACATGTACTACATATATTATATCGAGTAAAATTTGCCTTTGAGAGAATGTGTTTTGGAATGTAGTTATACAAAAAGACAAAAGGAAAAGACGGAATTAAGGGAGAGAAAGCGCGTATAAAAAGATGTAGTATCTTTTTCATTAATTACATTTCGCATTATCGCACTTTCTCTTCCTCCTTCCAGAATACACGTTCAAGAATATTGTTCTTGTTGTTTTTAATCATGCGACCCGCTTGTGTCACGATGGCGATCACCGATGTCGATTGTGTCGATGCGATGACAGACAGCGATACCAGCGATCAGCAGCAAAGATGGCGCTGATCTGTGTTATGTCAGATTTTTAAAATTGATTTGAACTCTTGTCGGAGTGCTTTTTCCGTCGAAACACGACGACGTGGGGAACCGGATCAGCCGTTGCCGTTTTCGTGCTACGTTGCGACCGTGTCGCGACCCAAGAATATCGAGCGGCAATGCCCGCGGTGAGTCACGTGTAATATCGCGCGTAGCGTTTCGCACCTAACCTAGTCGCCCGTTGAACCTTGAACCGTTTGTTGGAGTTCTCGATTTTCCTCATGGGACACCGCGAATTTGCGACGAGGTGTGGGAAGAGTGTCGATTGAACGCGTTAATCGCGAAGAACGAAACAAACGGAAAGATCGGAGAGTTGAAGGACGTGGCAGACCGTTCTAGTTGAAGCGCGTTCTGGTCCCGGACTCGCATTCTCGTTCATCCGGTCGCACAACCCAACGATCGTCACCAGTGAGCCGGTAGACACGTTCGATTGGATGCTGCTGAGATCAACACCTGGCTGAGAGATGCCGAAGATAAGGATCAAGCAGACGCCAAACAGTCTCTGGTTAAGACAACGCGAGCTGGGTATGAGGTTTCCGTTGGGTCACAGCGACGACTTCCACAAGACCCTCTACTCCTCTATCCAACCCATCACTTCGTGGGACCACGGAGATAATCTGACCGCCGCTAGGCACGGCGGTGTGTTCAATTTAGAATACTCGCCAGATGGGTCAGTAACGACTGTAAAGTCATGTCTATCAAGACCTCTGAATCTGAACCGCCTGGTCTTATTTTTAATCAATATTGCAGGTCCCTTTTGCTGGCGGCATGCGAGAAGAAAAGTATTTTAATGTTTGACCCATTATGTAGGAAATTGATACATGCGATAGATAATGCTCATAGTGACTGCGTCAATTGCGTAAGGTTAGACAATTTTCATTATATCCTTTATTAATTGAAAGAAAAGAAAACTGCATAATAGAGATGAATATTAAGCCTACTCTTTTCAGCAAAACTTCTTACATTCATTTCTTTTTTTTTCTTCACATTGAAGAAAAAAGAAAAAAATAAACTGTGTAAAAAGTTTAACTTAAAAAAAAAATGTACTCATTTTGTTGTCAATTAAGGTTTCTGGATCAGCGTATGTTTGCGACATGTTCGGACGATAGTACGGTTGCTCTATGGGATGCCAGGAACTTAAAGCAAAGGATAAGAACTCTTCAGGGACACTCAAATTGGGTTAAAAACATAGAATACAGTCCGAGTGATAGCTTATTGTTGACCAGTGGATTTGATGGTAGCATATATACTTGGGACATTAATAGGTAAAATATTTAATGACATGTAACTTCTTCTTTTTACATCTATGTTGTATAATTAATCATATATTTTGCAATGCCTTACAGCTTTACAGAAAATAGCTTTGTGTACAATCGTGTATTTCATACAAATGGATTAATGCGAACAAGACTTACTCCCGATACTAGCAAAATGTTAATATGCACTACTTCAGGATATCTCATCATAATACATAATCTTAAACTTAGTACGCTAAGTCAGGATTTGGCAGGATTCAAGGTATTTATTATTCACACTTTAATATTTGTAAACTCTATGACTTTCAGTCGTTCTTATTGTATTATTATTTGCAGCCAAATATGTACAGGCTAATGCAGTTATCTCAGACTACCATACCAGTTGCAGCATCTTACACGCATCTCTTTGCTCACACTCGTACTCACAATAGAGTAGAGTTCCTTACCGATTTTCCTATAGGCGACGACGCTGAGGTAATATCCAGTTTACAAGTTCACCCACAAGGATGGTGCGCTTTGTCCCGAAATGTCAGCAGTGGAGAAAAATCGGAGGTTTGTTTCTGCATGTTAAATCGCGCATTGTATTATCAACTTTACTATCTGCTGATAAGTCTCATCGACGTTTTATCCTGTAGTGGACTTGTATTCACGACATACAAGAACGCGAGGCATCCAGCAATATGGAACAAGTCAATGAGGGAGAGGAAGGTCGGTTAACGAGTCTAAACGTAGAAGAGTTCGAGGATTTTCCTCAGTCGCAATCGTCGCGTTCGGGTATGACGTCTTCCTTTGTGATAGAGAATGGAAATCGTACACGGATAGTCCACGAAGTGTCGGATGTAAGATCGAATTCGTTTGATTCTGTCCGCGTGTCCACGGACGCCGCGCCGTCATCGATTAGATCGTCGAGAACGAGCTGGCAGGTAACGGCGCGCAGAAATCTGCGTTCCCAATCGAGGAGTCCGCGCCCGGATAGAAACCCGATGAGAACGAATTTCGACATGGTCGAGGTCAGTTCAAGTACGAGTGCCGCCACCGATTCGAGGGTAAATGCGATTCACGACGACGATAGACCAGAAGACCAGCACGTAGATGATAACGACAATTCGCCATATGATGTATCTGCACCCCTTGAAAGGGATGCACGGGAGTACAGATCTCCCAGACCACACTCTCAGCTCAATGACTTACGGCGGCGTAATATGATCGACAATTTCACCAGTGGCAACGTAGAACTGCATGTGAGTACGACTGACGTATGGGAGGCACTCGTGGCAATCAGGGAAGCCAGACTTCGCAGGGAACGAGAGAGACAGTTTTATCCTGGTGCCGAAAGGAGAGACTGGCTCCCTAGATCGAACAACGGCGTGAGCGTGAATCTTCCTCGATCGTCTCACACGGTCGTGATAATCGGTGATCGTACTCGAGTGCAGAATTTGCAGAACCGGCAAAATCTGCAGACTATGTACGCGATACCGAGGAATCATAAGATCCACCAGAATACGCCCAGGTTGACGCATTACATTGAGGAGCCCAATGTCGGTTCCGGTTATATCAAGGAACTGTGCTTCTCGGCTGATGGTAGATTGATATGCTCGCCATTTGGTTATGGAGTACGATTATTGGCATTCTCGAGTGACTGCACCGAGCTATCTAATTGCGTTCCACCTGCCAACGAATCCGTGCAGCTCCACGAATTAGCGACACACATTGGCCATTCCGATATTGTTGTTAGCACGAAATTCTCACCTAAACACTATCTGCTCGTATCCGGCTGCCTCAGCGGCAAGATTGTCTGGCATCAGCCGGTAGTTTAGCTAAATGGATAATTACTTTAGATATCTTATTATTTTTCATTAATCGGTCTCTTGGTAGATAGATATATTTTGCCGCTTTGTACAAGATCACGCTGACTACACAATGTGTGTGAAAATCTTTTTGTTAATATTATATAATTTATATGATTATATATATATAAAATTACATTAATTACATTTTTACTTGATATATATATATATACCTTTTTAATGAATGTTATTTAATATATATTATATCAACATGATGATACACACATGTATAGATATTAGGGCTCGCTATTATACGTTTAAACGAAAATATATTTACACATATAAATAGTATATCCGTTTATTAGAATCGTTTTTCCGAATATTTTCACTTTTTTTATATAAACGTTTATCCCTTTATTGAGGAATGCGACGAATTGAGAAAATGCAAAAAATTCGATTTTTAATTTTATTAAAAAACGTTAAAATATTCGAAAAGATGTTTTTCATAGATGGATATGTTAAATATACATGTAAATGTATTTTCGTTTAAATATATAATAAAACACGTATATTCGAAAAAATGTTTTTTTTATAAATGGATATGCTAATTAAACGTGTAAACGTTTACCTTCAAGTAAACGTTTTTTTTTAAAGCGAATATAAACGGATAAACGTTTTACGTTTACGCGTATCTTCGAAAAACGGAATAAAATTAGAGCTCTAATAGATATGTATACGATTCCACATTTTCTACTACTTAATTATACTTTCTATCGTAAGAAGAGATAAAGTTTTGCGATATTTATTTTATATTTAAGATTCAAAAGAAAGGAAAAGTTGCCACTATGTTTTAATTGCATATCCGTGTAAT